CAAGCAAGCAAAGACAGAAACGTGTTTCTGATAAGCACTGCAGAAGAAAGTTATGGGAAGGAATGATGGAAAAGAGAAGCTGTTTCTGCGTGCCAGGTCAGGCCTCTGAGGTGACTTTTAAGACCAGCCGTAAAGCCCCAGCAGCAAGCAGCCTTGCAGAGGGCTGGAGGATGTATGCCTTCAGAACACACAGCATGTGCAAAGGCCCCATCGAGGAGAAGGCTCAGTAGGCTGAAGTAACAGAAAGGTGGCCAATGTGACCACAACACAGTGGAAAACTACACAAACTGTAGACAAAGGCGGAACTGGCTTTGGTGAGGCCTCAGTGAAGCCTCAGTGAAGATGATGGACTTTAAGGGGAAAAAAAAAATTGAAGGATATTATATAAAAGGGGAATGACACTAACAGACCGTTGCCTCTTACTCTGTGGAGAAAGAGTTGTAAAAGGGCACGGAAAGAAGCCAAGGCAGTAGTGCAGACAAAAACCAGTATGAACCAGAAGTGGAAAGGAAGGTCTGAGATGCTCTGTCAGTAGAACTGAGAAGATCTGCTCATAAGGCAAGAAACAGGGGGATGGTATGAGCTACTAGAAACAAGATGGTGCCAAAAGAAAACATTTTTTTGGTGGGGTTAATAGGGAATCTAGAAAGATTTTAGACATCCCTGTGCAATGGCCAAATTATGTTGGGTAAGCAGCTAGATATAAGACAGGGGCTGGGAATCAAGTCATATTGGTCAAGTTCTCTATACTGACCCAGAGTGTTTACAAAATACAATAAATAGGTCACACTCCAGAGCACCCACATCAGGAGGTGCACATTTTTAACTTGCCCAGGTGATGCTGCAATCACCGTCCACAATGATTTTGGAGCCCAAGACAGTAAAATCTGTCACTGTTTCCACCCTTGAGAATCCCGTGGTCAGCAAGGAGATCAAACCAGTCAATCCTGAAGGAAATCAACACTGACTATTCACTCACTGGAAGGACTGATGCTGAAGTTGCAATCCTTTGGCCACCTTATGTGAAGAGCGAACTCACTGGAAAAGACCCTGATGCTGGCAAAGATTGAGGGCAGGAGAAGGAGGGGACACAGGATGAGATGGTTGGATGGCACCAGAGGACACTGACTCAGTGGACGTGAGTTTGAGTAAACTCCGGGACGGAGTGAAACACAGGGAATCCTGGCATGCTACAGTCCATGGGGCCGCAGAGTTGGACACAGTTGAAAAACTGAATAAAGTGATTCTGATGTCAAGTAGAGTCTGAGAACCACTTAAGTAAAGAGATTTTACTGTCATGGTTCGTTACCTAAGGATATAACTCGTTATAAAATAAAACATTACATTGAGCAACAACATGTGAAGATAACGGTTTGACTGTCTAATCTCTAGTCATACATTATAGAGGAAATACTCTTCTAATTAGCTTTTTCGAATGATTCTTTCTAACTATCTCTTTCAAGTGACTGACAGTCGCTCTGAAGGTGAATAATCTCCTCTATTCCGTAAATATTGTCTTACAAAATACCCAAGAAATATCTCACAAGTGAGTAAATCGAAGTTCAAAAAGGTGGAGAGTCTGGTCTAAAGGGCACCTAATCAATAACAGGGCCAAGACTCAAAAATCAAGATAACACCAACTCCAGTCTGCTTTCCATCACATGAAAATGCCACAAAGCTCACACCCACAGAGCTCGCCACCTGTGAGGTTATCATGCACACACGAAATTACAACAAGATAAAACAGGGTGAGTGCCTTAAGGCAGACAGAAGGGCAATGAAAATAAGGAAAAGTTACTTCTGGATTTTCACACTACTTAAAAATTTTATAATTGCAGAAACTACAAAATCCACCTTTCAAAGTATCCACAAACACTACTCATTAAAAACAAAAAAAAAAGTGACTCCTATACAAAAAGCCATTAAGACTCTTCCTAACTCAATATAAATCTCTTCAAAGAGATCTTTAAAAACAAAAGGGGAGTAGAGGACAGCTGCCTGCAAAACGGCTTCAAAAGTCCGCTAGAGCCAGTCACTAAGGCTGGTGTCCTCATCAGTAAAACGGGGTTTGGGATAAAGAACCTATACACATACTTACTAGTCATTATCACTTATAATTATTATCAGAAGAGCATACAAATAATCTATAACTGCCTGAGATTTTAACATGGAATGCTGGATTTTGGTTCTAACGCATACATCCAACTATCTACCTGAATACTATAGTACTAGAACGCTTCCTAAAAAGTTTACCAATCTTCTTTGCCAACTGCCCCTAGACCACAATCAATCAAAAAGCTCAGGGCCATCTGTACTGACCTTTTCACAACAGTTCTAATGCCTGTAGTTGTTCATCATCCCCGAGCTAGACCTGAAGTTCCTCAAAGGCAAAAGCTTTATTTTGTTAACTTGTAATCATTCACTAATATCTGCTTGGCACTGATTTAGGTCTTGACAATACAGCAATAAACAAAAGTCTCTCACCTCCTAGAGCTTACATTCTAAAGGGTAATTAATAAATACATAACCAATTTGTAATAAGTGCTCTTAAATCAAGGAGGGTAGGAGAGCTAGGAAGTATTACAGGAGCTGGGAAGTTCCTATTTACATAGGTTATCAAGGAAATCCTCACATATACCTAAAACCTGAAATAAATGCAGCACATAAGTCACACAGATATCTGGAAAGGAGTCATCCAGACAGAAGGAGAAGAGCAAGTGCAAAGGCCCTGAGGCAGGGACACAGTTATTGTGCTAGGAAAACTGTGAGACGTCAAATGAAGTGGGGGCAAGGGAAACACATGGACGGGGTGGCTTTGAGAGCAGAATGCCATGAACTGACCTATGTTTTAGGAGATCATTCAGACATCTCTATGAAGAACAGAGAATAAAGAATGGAAGCAGTGACTCTCATTAGGGGGTGGTGACAAAGATTAATTGGATTCTAGTTAGGTTTTAAAGAGAGAACCCACAAGATTGGTTGATGAACTGGATGTGAAGAGAAATGAAGAGAAGAATCAAGGAAAGCTTCTGAAAAGTTCAGGAAGAGTAGAGTTGCCATTAACTTAAACAAGAAAGACAGAAAAGCAATTTTACTTTCCCAGAACCCAGCAAGTTGCCTAGCACACATCAGACATTCAGATATTTATTTGTGAATTAAATTTAACGGAATAAACTCCCAAAATGAAACAGTAAACTCAATGCATTGCTTTACATTCGTTCTAAATTTCCTTTAGTAATGCTTGTTAATTAAACAGTCTTAGGCACCAACACAGGTCCCATGCTAACATGGAAACGCTACACTGGAACACAGCAGCTAATCCTTGTATCTGGAGAACAATTCTCCTGGAGATAAAAGAAAAGTGCATGAAAAGCTCTGTGACACCCTGAGGATTCTTACACCCAAAGTAATTAACCTGTTCATTAATGATGTCATATTCCTGGAAGATAGAGAAGTGCAAATAGAACTAACACCCCGGGCCAGAATTAATTGAAAATTATAACACTTTGTGGTAAATTTTCTGAAAGCGACAAGACTGAACAAGTAACTTCAAAAAATAAGCCATCAGTAACTCAGCATTTTTTCTTAAAACGGCTTTTCCCTCCCTCTCAATTCAATTAAAAATCGCTTGAGAATGTGAATAATCTAGCTCATCTTCCTCCACTTTTTCTGCCAACTAGGGTAAACGAGCTTCACTTAGGAAAGAACTGGGTATCCTCACCTTTAACACTTGGTGTAGTCATACTCCCCGATTTTCTAATCCAGCACCCTTACTACAGCTTCATGAAGAACCACAAACTTGGCAGAAATATTTTCAAAGACATTCTCCTAAAATAAAAAGTTACCAGTCTTTCCTCCCTTCTGGTTACTTTAAGATTTTAACTGAAGCTCAAGTATCACCTCTCTTCCCCTTTAGTCTCCCTAATGCCCCACCCTAACCTACTGTTTTGTTTTTTAAAGAAAACTTTCGGCCAAAATATAGCTTAAAAAACCTAGATCGTTCGGAGAGACTGATCGTCCTGAATTCAGCAACAGGCAGCGCTTTCCTTTTCCTATCAGCACAAGGCCTTGAACCAACCCAAACAAATCTGCTGAAATGCCAGCCAGAGTCCCCGTATCTCCCCCGCTCCCTCCCCCGAAAGCCGGCCTGGAAATAACCACCACTGACCACGGAGCTGAACAGAAAAGAACCAATGGTAAGCAAAAACGGGATTCTGCGAGGCAGGAAGGGTGAGAGCCAGATTTTCAACCACCACGTCGAAGCGAGTTGAGAGGAGCCCGGGCGCCCCACAGATGCATTCCACACGGAGCGGCACACATTCTCCACCCCACACCCCGCGCTCCGAAGGCTCCGCACGCGGACGAGCTGGAGCGAGGGTCCTCCTCGGGGAGGAGAGGCGAGAACGCCTCGAGGGGAAGGGAGTGCCCGGGTTGGGAGCGGGGGGTGAGTGTCCGGGGCCCGAGGCGCGGAGCGCACACAAGCACGCGCGCCCAGGGATGGACGCAGCGGCCCTCCGGAGCAGGAGGCTGGGCGCCCACCACCGTACGCGGAGGCGCGAGCCCCACCTGCGGGCTTTACCCGCGGCGCGGAAAGGCTGGAGAAGGCAGGATCAGGACCCCCTCCCAGCCCAGCCGAGCCCCGAAGAAGGGGGCCTAGGCAGCTACTATTTCCCAGGAAACGGGCTGGGCGCCCGGGGGCGGGAGGTGGGGGCCGCTGCCGACCCGCTTTTCCTGTGCTCGCTGGAATAGCGGGAAGCCCTCCAGGGAGCGGAGCGTGGGGAGCGGGGGAGGGGGCGCACTGGAGCGAGAGCGGGGCGGCGGGCCCTTAGGGGCGCGGGATGGTGGGGGGGGCGCGCGCCGGGGAGGGGAAGAGGGCGCGCACACACACGCACTCACACACCCGGCCCGGAGCAGGGAGGCGCGACCGCCCGCCGGCCTCGGGAAACCCGGCCCGCCAGAAGGGGAAGGAGCCACCCTCCTCCCCGCCCCCACACACTCACCATGTAGAGGGTGAAGGGCAGGCCGAGAAGAAAGAGCCACAGGTAGAGGTGCAGCGCGTTCACGAAGGTGGCCTGGTGCGGGTCGTAGTACCAGCCCCCGCTGAGCGCGGCCCACACCCCCTGCCGGAGGATCTGCAGCGTCTGCGACCCCATCCCCACCCGGCGCCGCCGCCGCCGCCGCCGCCGTCCCCGCCCCGGCCCCAGCTCTGCCTCCGGGTCGCCGGAGCCCGCAGCTGCCCCGTCTATCCCCCTCCGGAGCTCCGGCAGAGCCGGCCGGCGCTTCGGCGGTCGCTAGGGCTGCTGCAGCAGCAGGAGGAGGAGGAGGCAGCGAACGAGGAGGAGGAGACCGAGGAGGAGGCGGCGAGCGGCGGGGCGGAGGGGAGCGGAGAAGAGGAGGAGACCGGCCTCCACAGCGCCGCCGCCATCTTGTCTCCTCACACCCGGGAGCCGGAGCCAGGCCCCCGCCGACGGCGGCCAGCCAGCGCCGCCACCGCCGCCGCCGCCGCCGCGACCCCCGCCGGCCGCCAGCCCTGGGCCCGGCGGAGAAGGAGGCCCGGCGCCCGGGAGGGACCGGGAGCAAGCCGCGCCCCCTTCCAGCTCCTCCTCTCCTCTCCTCTCCCTCCGCCCCTTGGGCTGGTCCCCGCGGGTGCGCACAGCGCCTCGGCCGCCGGGGGCGCCTCCTGCCGGCGCCCGGGGGAAGCGCGCGCGCAGTCGCGGGCCCGGGCCGGGGGTGGGGGCTGCCGAAGTTCGGGGACCGCGAGTCCCGGTTGTGGCAGACCCCAGTGCGTTCCTGGTACCCGAAGCTGGCACGTTCCTCACACTCCAGAAAGCGGGTCTTTTACCCCCGAAACCTTGTCCTTAGAACCTGGTTAGCATCCTGCTGACGTCTCATGATATTTAGGAAAGACCTGAGGAACAAGAGGCTCATATCTGAGCTACTCATTGAAGGCCCGAAAGAATTAGGTACAGCTGATGACGGTTGAAAACGACAAACCGCCCGATTTGAGCAAGAACTGTGTTGGCCCATAAACCGAGCTAGAGGCCCTTGACTGAGAAAAATAGCCACGGCCAAGACTGAACAGATTTACTACTTCCCACGACAGATGAATTAATAGAAGCTGCAAGAGATGTGAAAGCATAGGGTGGAGAGGTTGAGCATTGTATACAGTGATTTTATTTTTATAACGTGCTGTAACTTGTAGCAGTTTTTTGGTGGTTTTTTTTTTTTTAATGGGCCAGTTTAAACAGGATTGAAAGATTAACTGTGTCTCCACCCCAAGTCACAATAGGGTCTTGTACTTTTCTTTTTATAACTGTAAAGAATGGGAATCATTCTTGGCTCTGAGTAACGTTTGTAAAGCGTGTCCTGATCTCATTGAACGAGATTTTCAAAAAAAATGTTTGAGTTTATGATAGCAATAAAAGTACTCTCTACTCCTGGATTAAAGCTGCTGTAATTAATGAGAATAGCAAGAGAGTCCAAAGAAACCGGGGCTGACGTTTTCAGATTGAAAAACCATTGCAGTGTCTCCAGAGTCATACCACTTTCCCGTTAACACATTTCCACACCTATTTCATTTGACCTTCACAATACTCCTGTAAGGGCAGCATAGAGGCTACCCTTATTTTATGGGTTAGGAAACACAAGCTCAAAAATACTAAGTGATTGTCCAAGTTCTAGATGGGGTTGAAAAGACCTCTGGCACCAGCAGTCATCCTAACTGCATGGCCTGAACTTTGGAAGTTTATTTTTCAGTACTCTCCACCTTATCCATTCAGATAAGCGTTTGAACTGATCAATAACTGCTCTGCTGCAGGTCACCTGGGGCCCATTTAAACATATAACCAGTTGTTTTCAAAGTGTCATCCCAGGACCAGGTGTGTCAATATTGCCTGAGAATGTGTTAGAGATGCAGATTCTCAGGCATCACTCCAGAGAAACTCTGGGTGTGAGACCTAGCTTTCTGTTCTAACAAACCCTCCAGAAGATGCTTCCCTTGTGGCTCAGACAGTAAAGAGTCTGCCTGCAATTCAGGAGACCCAGGTAGGATCCCTGGGCTGGGAAGATCCCCTGGAGAAGGAAATGGCAACCCACTCCGGTATTCTTGCCTGGAAAATCCCTTGGACAGAGGAGCCTGGTGGGCTATAGTCGATGGGGGTGCAGAGCCGGAGACAGCTGAGTGACTAACACTTTTCCAGAAGAGTCTAATATGCCTTAAAAGTTGAGACTGCATCGTAGAACACCATCTCCAGCCTTGATTTCTTTGTTTCCTTGTAAGCAAAAAGTCGTGAAAGTCCAATAACATATCTTGAAATTGAGAGATCTGAATGAACACTTTAAAATATATTAATGGGACTTCCCTGGTGGTCCAGTGGTTAGGACTCTTTGCTTCCAATGCAACGGGCATGAGTTCAATCCCTGTTCAGGGAACTAAGATCCCACATGCTGTGTGGTGTGGCCAACATTTTTTTTTAATTAAAATATATTAATATGTCTATCACAATAAACTGGAAAATTCTGAAAGAGATGGGCATACCAGACCACCTGATCTGCCTCTTGAGAAATCTGTATGCAGATCAGGAAGCAACAGTTAGAACTGGACATGGAACAACAGACTGGTTCCAAATAGGAAAAGGAGTATGTCAAGGCTGTATACTGTCACCCTGCTTATTTAACTTATATGCAGAGTACATAATGAGAAATGCTGGGCTGGATGAAGCACAAGCTAGAATCAAGATTGCCGGGAGAAATATCAATAACCTCACATATGCAGATGACACCACCGTTATGTCAGAAAGTGAAGAACTACAGAGCCTCTTGATGAAAGTGAAAGAGGAAAGTGAAAAAGTTGGCTTAAAGCTCAACATTCAGAAAATTAAGATCATGGCATCCAGTCCCATCACTTCATGGCAGATGGGGAAACAGTGGAAACAGTGGCTGACTTTATTTTTCTGGGCTCCAAAATCACTGCAGATGGTGATTGCAGCCATGAAATTAAAAGGTGCTTACTCCTTGGAAGAAAAGCTATGGCCAACCTAGACAGCATATTAAAAAGCAGAGACATTACTTTGCCAACAAAGGTCTGTCTAGTCAAGGCTATGGCTTTTCCAGTAGTCATATATGGATGTGAGAGTTGGACTGTAAAGAAAGCTGAGTGCCAAAGAACTGATGCTTTTGAACTGTGGTGCTGGAGAAGACTCTTGAGAGTCCCTTGGACTGCAAGGAGATCCAACCAGTCCATCCTGCAGGAGATCAGTCCTGGGTGTTCATTGGAAGGACTGATGTTGAAGCTGAAACTCCAATACTTTGGCCACCTGATTCGAAGAGCTGACTCGTTGGAAAAGACCCTGATGCTGGGAAAGATTGAGGGCAGGCGAGAAGGGGATGACAGAGGATGAGATGGTTGGATGGCATCATCAACTCGATGGACATGGGTTTGGGTGGACCCCGGGAGTTGGTGATGGACAGGGAGGCCTGGTGTGCTGCGCGGTTCATGGGGTCACAAAGAGTCTGACATGACTGAGCGACTGAACTGAACTGAAAAGCAAAATTAAGGTAAAATATGCAATCTTACAATTAAAAGAGTGGCCTTGAGTCTTTGTCACAGACACACGGCTTTGTTCATTTGTTTCTCCTAAAAGAGGAAGGCTCTCTGAGCAGGTTTTGGAAGTGATCCCAAGCTTTTCCAACACAAAGAAAGATGTAAACAAGGATAAAATTCCAATACCAAATCAGTTTCCACACCAACAAATATCTGCTGTAGTTTAATGTAAAAGGATTAGCTGTAATGGGGTGAGGTGGACTGGAAGAATGGAGACCAGAACGAGATACAACCATGGAACTGAAGGCAGACCCAGTTGGCGTGATGAGTGTGCAGCCAGAAGACAGTATTTGGAGGCTACATAACCAGCAGCAGCCAGGAAGGCAGCCAGGATCAGGCTGGTTCAACACAGAAAATGTAAGCCAATAGGCAGCTGCTGTGCAGCCTTGGGAAACCCAGGAGCAGACAAAATTGGGAAATTGGCAAGCATTAAGAAAATGTGTTGGGCTTCCCTGATGGCTCAGTGGTAAAGAATCCTCCTAACAATGCAGGACACATGGGTTCGATCGCTGATCCAGGAAGATCCCACGTGAGTGCGGAGCAACTAAACTCATTGTGCCACAACTATTGAGGCTGTGCTCTAGAGCCCAGAAGCCACAACTACTGAAGCCCACTTACCCTAAAGCCTGTGCTTCTCAACAAGAGAAGCCCCTGCAATGAGAAGCCTGGAGCCCGCAACTAGAGAGTAGCTCCCTGAAACTAGAGAAAAGCCTGCACAGCAGTGAAGACCCACCACAGCCATAAATAAATGAATTTTTAAAAGAAAAGGTATTGCTAATAGTAAGACCTCAAGCTCAATGCTGTCTCCCAGGTTTGGATTCCTCTGCCTTGGAGGAACTGATGAAAACAGAATTGAGATTCTTGAGAGGAGGTACGGGGCAAGTTTAGAAGACAAGGACTCGGGGCAACAAGACAGGTATCCAAAGGCAAGATCTGACAGGCATAGGAAGTCTTAGAAATGAAGGAGGAACTTAATACCTAGAACTGAGCATTGCATTTCATGCTGATCCTGGTTGTTTTATGCTGAGGTTCCAGAGTGTTAATAGATTCAGTTCAGTCACTCAGTCGTGTCAGACTCTTTGCAACCCCATGGACTGCAGCACACCAGGACTCCCTGTCCATCACTAAATCTAGAACTTGCTCAAACTCATGTCCATTGAGTCAGTGATGCCATCCAACCATCTTATCCACTGTCATCCCCTTCTCCTCCTGCCTTCAATCTTTCCCAGCATGAGGGTCTTTTCCAGTGAGTCAGTTCTTCACATTAGTTGGCCAAAGTATTGGAGCTTCAGCATCAGTCTTTCCAATGAATATTCAGGACTGATTTCCTTTAGGATTGACTAGTTTGATCTCCTTGCAGTCCAAGGGGCTCTCAAGAGTCTTCTCCAACGCCACAGTTCAAAAGCATCAATTCTTCAGTGCTCAGCTTTCTTTATGGCCCAACTCTCACATCTATACATGACTACTGGAAAAACCATAGCTTTGACTAGACAGACCTTTGTTGGCAAATTAACGTCTCTGCTTTTAATATGCTGTCTAGGTTGGTCATAG